AAGAAAAAACATTGATTGATAGATGCTGGGAATGTGCTGTTCTCCTTGTAGAAGTCCTAGAAGCAGCGAGCTTTGGATCCAGGAGTCCCGCCCACAAAAAACAGCCAGAGGCTTTTGGAAGCAGCATGTTTCACATAACAAGACAAAACCATCTCTGCCAGCTGAGTCCGCGTAGGTCGAGGCAGAATCTATATTGCTGTATTGGCTTGAGATGAGATGGGAGTTCCAGCTGTGAAAACTGGCCCCATATTTTTTCCTTTTGGAAAATGACCTGCCCAGGTCTCCTGACAGCTCAGATGCACAGGCATGATTAACCGCCGCAGGTATTACTGAGCTGTAACTGGAACTGAGATTCCCTGTAGGTGGGACTGGCTGTTACTGAAAGAGCAGAGTAAGAAAAGCAGAAAATGGGAGAAAAACAACATAATCAGCAAGTGATGCAAGTGTGGCTATTGAATATAAGCCACAAGGTCTCTCTGCTTTTAGTACCGAGTGACTGGGCTGTGTGACTCTTAGGCTGGCAATGCTTTCAGAGGGCAGGGGAAGGGGGAGTTGGATGCCTTTTTGAGCAGCACATGGCAGAGAATCACAAAACAGGTGGTTAGACAAGTTCTTCTGGGTTTTCACTTAACCCTCCACTACTGACCTGGAGCATCACTGGGAGCAACCGCTGCTTTGTGCCTCAGTCTTTAAAATGGAGATACTTGCCAACCTTGTGCGAGTACTTTGTGATCTGATCAGTGTTTGAGGCTCTCCTAAGAGTGCTGCAGATGACTGAAATACTACTTCTCTTTTTAAGGCATGTTTGCCATGTGTTGCAGTTTGCCATCTGCTACATAATAGCTTTTGCTTTAATTTTATGATTGTGTTTTATACTTTCCCCTAATGAAATCACGGTAGGCCTGTAAAACGATTGACCTCTGCAATTGGGGTGGCAGTGCTAATTTAATCTTTGATAGCTGAGCGAGGGAGCGGACCAGAGCAATCTGCTGTGCCCAACCCACAACATACAGACAACGGTCGGTACCTTGTGTAGCAAGAAATGATGGGAAATACTTGGGAAAGCCTCTTTGGAGGTTTGGACCCACTTCCCGTTGAAGACACTTGGGATTTCATCCCTTGGGAGCAATTCCCCAAGGCTCACCAGTAGCCCCAGTCCAAAATTAGCTTATTTTACAGAACCAGAGTGCAGTATGTTTGTGTTGGTGTCGCACGCTGACACAAATCCCATCCAAGCAGATACTCCACTGTGTGCTCTCCCTGCTCTGGGAGGAGGAGAGGGAAGCAATGCCTGACAGGAGATACCATCTCATGGAATGCGTAATGGGGAAGTACTCTGAGACAGCCCTGATGAGATCAGGATAATTAGTGATACTGAGCTGAGCAGGAATTGGACTCAAGTCTTTAAGGAGGCCTGATTGTTTCAACCATACAACATACGGAGGTGCAGGTGGTTTTGTGGTCTTTGGAGTAAATTTCTTTTACACCGTTTGTAGCAGAAGGGAAAGGGAAAAGACTCGGATTGAGAGATAGTAAGACTTTATCCATTCTGCTTCTGGACTAGGGAAAATTCTGCATTCTGTAGGAAGTAATTATCTGCTCGCTGTTTGGCTTCTCCACCCACCCCTTCCCTCTTCCTCATTCCTTCCTGGCCTTTGAGAGCTGTTTAAAGGCGATCCATTTCAGTGGGGAGCCATGTGTTTGTAGAGCACCTAAATTGTACTGGGTTACTTCTGGCTGTTTATGCTGGTGGAACTGTGTTTGTGTTTCCAGACTCATGCAAAACACTGCTTTTAATATAAGATGCTTAGTCTTGCAGCTCTGATGTTGTTAGACCAGTGATATCTTCCATCTCCAGCTGGGCAAGCCACTCTCTTCATTCTACAGGTCTGCATGAATTTGGTTGCACACCCCAAACTAGATGCACATCCCAATTTCCTGAACACTTGAAAACTGCTTGCAGACTTTGGAAAATCAGCCCCACAGGTGGTGTTCGGAGCTGTAGAATTTTTCTATTGACTTCAGCGGGGTTTGTTCCAAACCCTTCAAAACATCAGGGCAATTCTGGGAAGTAGGGATGGCAGCAAGAACAGACAGAGTCAAGCCAGTGTAATTTAAATGCAGTCGTCTGCATCACTCATCCACAGGGAAGAGAAAATGCAATTTATTTTTAACACCTTCTTAATTCTAAAATGTTTGTATATTAAAAAGATGAAATGACAGTTGACTTTGCCGGGGCTCCTTCTCACAATTACTGCCTTGATTCCTCTTGTCCTGAAGAGCTGACAATCCATACTGATTTTTTTGTCTCTCTGAACTTGTACACAACTTAGCAAAATAGGTATTTCAGCTTCGTAGGCTCTCTGAAAGCTGCTTTAACCACAAGTAATGACTGTTAGCCTGGCAATATCTTGTTCTTCAAATTGCAAAGAAATTTTTTATGCAAATCAGGCTGGTTTGTTTTCATAATTGATTTGCTGATTATTGTTTTTATTATTATTATTATTATTTATTGTGGTAAGCCTAATAAATGGCATGTGTGTGGTCCCCTGGGGTGTTACATCCTACATGTGAAGTTTTTGGTTTTCTTTTTTTTTTTTAATCACACACCATATATTTGTTTCTCATTTTACCTGAGAGACTTCAGAGCTGCTGAATTGTGTGACCTTGTAGGTTAATGACAGCTCTGGAATAGAGTTGCAGTGCATCCATCTATATCAGGAGAGAGTAATTAGCAAGTTATTGATAGTCAGATGGAATTGTGGCATGAACACAGTGGCTTTCTAATACAGGGCTCGAGTGGACCATCCAGGTCAGGAAATAACCTTACCTTTATTATTTAAAAAGGATGCTCTCAGGGAGTGGAGTCCTGTACGGATAGTAAATAATTCTACTTGAAGACTGCTGTTTCTGCAGATATGTTACTGGCTCTCCCCACTTCTTCTGCTGAAAGTGTTCCTTAGACTCTTCCTGACCATCATTAATTTTCTGTTGTGGGTGTCATTACTGAAAGAGCTTGTTTTGTGTCAGTCTGGGAGGATTTTTCATAGAATCATAGACTGGTTTGGGTTAGAAGGGGCCTTAAAGATCATCTAGTCCCACCCGCGGCCCTGAGCAGGGACACCTCCCACCAGACCAGGTTGGTCAAAGCCCCATCCAGCCTGGCCTTGAACCTCTCCAGGGATGGGGCAGCCACAGCTTCTCTGGGCAGCTTGGACCAGGCTTTCACCACCCTCACAGCAAAGAATTTCTTCCCAATATCTCATTTAAATCTCCCCTCTTTCAGTTTAAAGCGGTTTCCCCTCATTATATCGCTCCACTCCCTGACAAAGAGTCCCTCCCCACCTCTCTTTAAGGCCACCTTTAGGTACTGGAAGGCCACTATAAGGTCTCCCTGGAGCCTTCTCTTCTCCAGGCTGACCAACCCTAATTCTCTCAGCCCGTCTTCATCAGAGAGGTGCCTACTAGCCCTTTTTGCTTTATTTGCCAGCTTTATGCTGATATAGGTGGAGGATTGTTTTGCTCAGAGTCCTTAAAATTACTTCCAGTCTCGATGGAGGAAAAGCAAGAGATGATCTAAAGGGAGAGATTGCATCTCCTGGAGAGCTGTGACCTTCCACTGCTGGGTGCAGGTTTGGTGCAGTGACTTACCAGTGATGTGCATTGCCTGAGGCATCAAGGATGCGGAGCCTGGGGTGGACTTGAACCATTGTTCTGAGCTGAGAGCCTTCTCTTCTCCAGGCTGACCAACCCTAATTCTCTCAGCCCGTCTTCATCAGAGAGGTGCCTACTAGCCCTTTTTGCTTTATTTGCCAGCTTTATGCTGATATAGGTGGAGGATTGTTTTGCTCAGAGTCCTTAAAATTACTTCCAGTCTCGATGGAGGAAAAGCAAGAGATGATCTAAAGGGAGAGATTGCATCTCCTGGAGAGCTGTGACCTTCCACTGCTGGGTGCAGGTTTGGTGCAGTGACTTACCAGTGATGTGCATTGCCTGAGGCATCAAGGATGCGGAGCCTGGGGTGGACTTGAACCATTGTTCTGAGCTGATGTGTTCCAACTCCAAGCAAAGAGGGGCTTGGCTACAAGTGCAGCCTCCTCTAGAGAAGTAGGCTGTGGTGGGACACCCCACTGCCTACAATAAGCTTGTCCCTGCAAATCCTATCTCGTGTTAGTGTAATCTGTGCAAGCTGTGGGGCTCGCTGCGTGCCTTGCACAGAAATACAGTGGGGAAGAAAACTACCGTGTAAGCGGGGCTGTGAGGACCAGCTGCAGGCAGAGGATCAGTACCCCTGAGCCCCTGGGCCACCTCTTTGATCCAGCTGCCTTTTTATGGCTATTTTCTGCCCTTTTCCACTTGTAAATAACACTGGCTTTTATTTGACCTATCTTTGGAGTGATTTTCCTCTAAGCCAGACCTTTCAGTGTCTCAGAAAACCCTGCAGCACATAAAGGGAACACAAAGAGATGAAATTTTTCTCTCGGTTGTGTCAGTGAATTTAAGCTTGATTGACAAGCCCTGTTCTAGTGCTGGCAACTGGGATTTCCTCGGCGTAAGTGTTAATGGATTTTTGCATTAGCACTTTATTTGTAAATCCCAGCTTCTGCAGCTGAGTAGCTGTTGTCCCTCAGGTGAGTCTGTTGTCTGGCAGCTTCCTGGCCTTTCCAGGGTGGGGGCAGATATTTTCTTTCCTCTGTTTTTTTCCAGGAGGCAGTAACACGTCTCCAGCTTAGAAATTAGGGAGAGCAGCAGGGTTGTGCCTTTGTGGGATGCTTGCTTTTATTTTGTCCAGCTGTTTCTTAATTAACCTGGGTGTCAGCAGCTTCCACCATGTACCCTCCTGAGTATTTTCAGAGTTTGTTGGGTTTTGTGTTCCGGAGTTATTTTGGTGTCAGGCTAATCCTGCCAGTCATGACTCGTTTTCTGTTTCCTCCTGAGAAGAGTGCTTCGTTTCCCCATTTAACGTGTGTTCCTTCTCCATCTCCCCATTTAATGTGCAGAGTTTGAAAATGGTTGGCGACTGTACGCTGAAGGCTGAGAAGGAGAAAGTTGGCAAGACCTTCGAGCTGTTGAACTTCCTTCTCAAAATTGCGGCGGCGGAGGTGAGTGTGTGACCTGACGTGTGGCCAATGGCTCTTCTTCTGAATACCACCAAGGCCTCTTTTAATGTCACACTTGGAAATCACCTTGTAACTGCTCCATCACTACATCCCTGCCTCTGGAGGGAATGCCTGGCTGGGTTTGAGGACAGAAAGGCCCTCGTGTCTGGAGGAGTGATCCATAGCTCTGGTGAGCTGATCTCCAAGAGCTTGTTGAAGAATTTGTGCCGTGTTCCACAAATGCATGTGGCATCTTCTTTCTTATCTGCGGAAATACAGCCTGGGATACAGTGAGGATGAGCTGGGTTTTCTCCCAGATGATTGCTCTGTCCCTTTCACTGAACTCCAGAGATTTTAGTTAGAAACTGAGCGGGGGTGAAGCTTTGTTCTGGGGCTTTGTTTTCCCTAATTAAAAATGTCTTTTTTGAACATGAGAAGATTTTCAGTAGGTGACAAAATAAGTCTCCAACATGATCTTATTTACTGCAGCAAAAGAACAGAAGCAGCAGAACTGCTGAAACCCAGTTTCCTACTGATAACACGGAGCTCACACCACAGCCTGTGTCTGTGTGGAGACCTAATAGGGAAGTGGGTGGAGGGGAGAGATTATTTCCAATACTTTTGTGGGAACTGAGTCACCTTTGAGACACCCCTTTCTGTCTGGTTTTACTGAAATTATCCAGCGAGTTACAGAAGCTCTAGAGGCAGCGTGATTGCATCCTTTAGAGACCAAACTGAAAATGCTGCTGCTTTTCTTTTAGATAGGTACATAATCACGTGTCTTCTTTCCTTTGCTCCCAGCCATGGACTGAAGAGGAAAGAGGACCAAAGGATCTTTCAGTCCCTTTTATGCCAGTACAGTTCTAGCTGTTAGACTCATGCCTCTCATGCTGGAGACCCAGTTTTCAAGCAAACCCTGTACCTGATGGTGTGGTGTGACTCACCAGTTTTTGTCCCTGAATTGGAAGTGATGTTGCAAATGGGCTCAGGCCAATGGTTTGGAGAATCCGGGTAGGATTGGTTATTCCTGCCACATGCCACAAGGATGGCCTGTGCCCTGCTGCTGTGAGTGCTGCTTCTGCCTTCACTCTGAAAATTGTCTGTTTGTACTTGCCTCTTGCAGAACCTGCGTGTGAAGTTGACGGAGCTGGACAGAGTGCTGGTAGCTCTGAACTGGCCAGAACGCATTGGGAATTCGGCACGTCTCGACTCTCTCTACTGGAACGTCATGAGCTGGCTGAACCACACGTACGTATGCTTGGCATTCTGGCTTCTTGGCTTGCCTGGGGGACTGCCTGCCTCTCCTGCTTGTCTTCATTGATGTGGGGAAACAGGAAGAGAGAGGAAATCAAGGCACTGAGCTCAGGCTGGAGTTCTGAGTTAAATGGAGCTCCTGGGTTGGAGTGGTTGAAACGCTTGTTGTTTTGCTTCTTTGGAACATTGCTAGGCTCATTGGTCCAGGTCATTGCATGCTTAGGGTGGGTCCTTGATGGAAAGGGATTGTAAGGCACGTCTGATAACTGATTGTGTCTTGCCATAGAGGTAAGACAGCTGATCACCTGAGGACAGGGTGCCTGCTTTCAGCAGTCCCAAGTAGTGGCCAGGTTTAAGAGCCATTGCCAAAATTGCAGAGCAATTTCTAGGCTGGGATGAGTCATTAAGCCCTTTCTGTGTCACTATGGATTGATTCTGCAAATGTGAGGCTGGAGGGAAGGAGTAGCTGTCCTGGGAAGTGACTGGATATCGGAGAGTACATGTCAGAATCTTGAATCTTCTCCAGTGATTTTTGGGCTCCTTAGTGTCTGGATCCCCAGCCTGGTGCTTGGAGTGGTTGCCATGCAGCTCTGAAAACTGGGGAGCATTCAGTGTTCGTGCTTTAGTGCTCCTCTGGTAAATGGCAGCTGGATTTGACTTTTGCTCCAGGGCAAAAAAAAAAAAAGTGTAGGATCTTTTTCCACTTGGAATCAGAACTTTTGTTTCCACTTCCTGCTGGCAGAATTTAGTGCAACTCACAGCATTAGGGAACGCTGGAGACTCTTCTAATGACTGGGAGCTGGGATCCCAGTGTGTGTGTGGTCTGGTCTGTGGTATCTCGGCCCAGCAAGAGGCTCTGAGGGATGTGTTTGCATGTGGCTCATGGTGGGAGGGCTCACAGGCAGGGAGGAATCAGACCAGGCAGCTGGAGCTGCTGTTGTGGCCCCTTGAACAGGTTTGCAGGGCACAGTGTCCTCACCCAGTCTCACACGGGTCTCCTGGCATCATACTGCTGGGGCTGGCACAAAGGGTAAGGTCCAGTTTAGGAGCTGGTAGAGACTGTGGCTGGGAGGGGATCGCTGAGGTAGAAAGGCTGAGTTTGTGTGTACTGTCTGAGGAAGGGATTGGGGTTCAGGGGTGCAGCCTGCTGTCACTGTCGGTGCCATCTTACTGTGACACCCAGAGATCTTTGTGCAGGTGGGTCGGAACCAAGCCTACAGCAGGTGTGGTCTGTGCACGGGATCCTGATGGAGGTGCTGAGACATGTGCTAACATCAGGTTGTCAGGGTAGTGTTTTTCTGCTCTGAAGAGATGCGACTTGAAAAACTAGCTAAAAAAGCTTCACATTGAAAACCAGGGCATGGAACTGGAGCCTGGGCTCTGCTCTGGGGCCTGAGCTGGTGCAGAGCAGCAGAGACTGGGAGGTGGTGAAGTTGTCGATGGACTCTGTTGGAGAATAGCAGCAGTGGTGGCTGTCTTGCATGCACACGAAGGCCACCTAGATGAGACTAGAGTGGTCTGTTGGGGGTTCTTGCTGGAAGACCTCATTGTTAGCACAGTGAAGGCCTTGCTGAGGCTGTCACCTTGGAGAGACAGACAGTGTCTCAGTGGCCTTGCTTGGGCCACTCACTGGTGGATGAGCTCGAGAGGGTGGTAAGTACAGCGTTACCTGGTCTGTGGAATGGGAATTCCTCCTCAAGTCTCCATGTGCCTTCTTGAGTCCTGGTCCAGCTCCTGCTGTTCTCTTAACCGGTGGCTGTGCAGCCTGAGGACCACCTCCAGGACTAACGCTCCTCCTGGCAGCATGCCTGTGCTTCCTGTACCTCTTGTGCTTCTGCTTGTTTGTGGACTCCCTGTAGCATGGATCACACTGCTCCTGGGCTGTGAACTAAGTTGGTTTTGATTTTTCAATGTTCTGTCTGCAGGAAGCCCAAGAAAGAGAAGACAACCAATAAGCCTGTGCAGGAGGCAGAGCCGCTTAAGCGGAAGAAGAAAGGCTTCCTGCCAGAGACCAAGAAACGCAAGAATCGCAAGAAGGGCAATCAGGAGAATGGGGTAGCACCAGAAGCTGGTGAAGATGGAGAACCAGCAGCCCCAGAGGAGCAGGCCTTGGGAGGAGAAACCCCCAAGAAGAAGAAAGGCAAACACAAGAATCAGAACAGAGGGGTCAGGGAAAATGGGGTGGCAATGGAGGACAGTGGGGAGGAAGCTGTTAGTGGAGGAGATGCTGTGGCTGACAAGAAAAAGAAAAAGAAGAAGAAGAAGCAGAATATGAACAGAAAAAGAAAAGGTGATGCCGGCAATGAAGCCGAGCAGATTCCAGCTGCAAAGAAAACCAAGTGGAGCAGGCCTTGGGAGGAGAAACCCCCAAGAAGAAGAAAGGCAAACACAAGAATCAGAACAGAGGGGTCAGGGAAAATGGGGTGGCAATGGAGGACAGTGGGGAGGAAGCTGTTAGTGGAGGAGATGCTGTGGCTGACAAGAAAAAGAAAAAGAAGAAGAAGAAGCAGAATATGAACAGAAAAAGAAAAGGTGATGCCGGCAATGAAGCCGAGCAGATTCCAGCTGCAAAGAAAACCAAGTGGAGTGTCAGCCAGGAGACCCAGCAGAAGCAGGGCAAAGCCAACCAGCAGAAGCAGGACAAAGCCAACCAGCAGAAGCCAGGCAAAGCCAAGAAAAAAAGAAAAGAGAAAAAAACTCCAGCGCTGCAGGAGTAAACTCCATGGACTTACCCAGGCTGGCAGGCATGGCTAGCGTGGCTCAGAGGACTGTTTTAATATCTTTTATAACTATAGTTTTTATGTCCTCCCTGACTTTAAATAAACCTCCCATGATGCTGAGTTCTAAAGCTGTGGGTCTGACTTGTGTGGAAGGTTCAGCTAGAGCACAGGGAGCTGCAGGAGGTCACATACCCTCCAGGCTCTAGTAGGTGCTCGCTCTCTCTTCTCTGGCAGTGCCAAACAGCCTGTGCTCAGGAGCACAGACTCCTTTCTTCCCGATTTCCCAAGGCAGAAGTGAGATGTTTGGATTTCCTGGGGAGTTGCAGTAGGTGTGCTGGTGCTGCTGAGTCCTGTGGTCAAGCCCTGGGGGAGGTTCAGAAGTAACCCCTACAGGTCCAGTTCTGTCCTGCAGTACTGCCCAGCAGTACTCACAGCTTCTTCAGTCTGCGAGATGCTGACTCTCTTAAATGCCTGGAGTTAAATGGGCTTGCACATGCATATTCTGGGGTCAAATATATCCAGTTTGGCCACTCAGGTGTCATCAGTAACTACCACGGTCTGGCTTTCTTGCCTTTTTGCTGCTGGGGGCAGGAGGGGTGATGGCCTCTGTGATAGTGCAAGGGACATCGATAAAAGAGTGAAACAATTGAAATGGTTGATTGATTTCCCAGCCTGCCAGGCCAGCAGGCTCTGTGCAGCCGTGCACAGCCCCTGTTACCAGCAGGTTTACAACAGTCGATGAAGGTGACTGCTGCTTGGAATTGTGTCTGCTTATTTATCCCCAGGCTCCTGAATGCCAGAATGGCATCGTCCCTTCGGAGAGGCCAGGACCAGGTTCTCTGATGTGTTGGGTATTTGGTTCTTGTTGAGAGCTGAGTCTCAAAGTGTTTGAAACCCCACTCACGTTGTAGTTGCCTCTAAAGCCTCCTCCCTCCTTTCTTCACCCCCACCGTTGCTCCTGGAGGCTGGAAGGTGTGGGTTGGTGGCTGACCATGATTCCTGTCCCAGCACTGGGAGGAGGGAGCAGACTCCACGAAGGCCCAGGTGCTCTCCTTCCTGCAGAGGAGTGTGGTGCTGGCTCCTGTTGGAAGCAGGAGGCTGCTGGCAGAGTGAGGGGTTCTGGAGAGGGGCTGTTCCTGCTGCACCTCCAGCTCTCGACCCACACGTGGGTCGGTACCACCCGACATAGATCAGGGAACTTGGAAATGTCATGTTGCTTTTGGAGGGAGTGAGAGAAAAGCTGCAAAGGGCTGTGTTTGCCTGTGGCTATTTATCTGCCTTTACAATGATTTTAGTTTTTTTTTTTCTTAAATGGCATGAAACTCCCTGGGAGACAGCTGCTGGCAGCAACGCAGACACGTTCAATTGCAGCCCCCTGGGTAGATGCAGCCCTCTTCTCATTTCTGTGTCACAGTGGTGATCCTGCAGGGTCTGCTGAGCATCCTGAGGAGTGCGCTGGCTCCTGTTAGCAGCAGGAGCTCCGGTACCCACCTGCTGGCAGGGCTCAGCAGAGGATGTCCTTCTTTTCCTTGGCTTTTGCTTTCTGCCTTCACAGCTGGCTGCTTCTGGCACTGGAGGGAGGCAGGACTGAGGAGCACTGTCCTTGCCTTGGAGGACACAGCCCTTGTGCATCATGGATGAGGAGGAGTAGACAAACCAGAGCTGGACTTTGCAAGTCAAACATCTTTCAGGTAGTGGCACAATTTGGGGCAGGAGGTGAAGGGGAGCTCTGCGAGGTTGCCAAGGTCCCTTAGCATATGAAGGGAAGCTCTTTCTGCCCACGCTTGCTAACTGTTGGCCTCCAGCCTCAGCAGGGTTTGCAGAAGTTGCTGGTCCCCAAGCAGGATGGAGGCTTAGGCTGCAGGTAGGTGGCCAGGACGATGCCGTTCAGACCTTCAGTGATAGTGATACCTGCATCTCTCTGTGGTGCTCCCACACTTGCCTGAAAAATTTAGGGCCAGACTCGTCCTGCTGGACCTTTTTTCCCAAGCTGCTTATTATTATGTTGTAGGATCTTGAGTGGAATAGCTGCAGCCTGGAGAAGAGCTGGAAGTCTTTGTTCCCAGTCAGGAGGTATTGGCAATTACTGTTGCCAATCTTATCTCTGAGAAAAAGAGCACCTCTGCTTCAAAGGGGGCTGTTGGCACTGGGGATGCTGCCCTGCCTCTGCCATTTAATGCTGAAAGCTGGTTCATTGCCTTGTTAAAACCTCAATCCCAGCTAAGCCCCTCCAGATGTCTCCCGAGTGATGACTTTTCCTATATTATGCAAATGCAGCGTACAAGAGGCCAGCGGGTCAGGGCTGTCCGAGTTTAATGATGCGGAGATGCTCTGAAGGGGGAGCAAGGGTTTCAGGTCTGAACACTCTCTTCACTAAAGATTTATCTCCTCCTTTCTGTGCCTGTGAGGAGGACATCCTGGGACTTTGTACCACTGCCCCTGCAGAGCTAGAGGAGAAACAGCATGCAGGTGTGGTGGGTGGGAAGCAAAGCAAGAGTCCAAGCATGAGGGTGTGTTGGGAGTGGGAAGACAGCGTTAGAGGGTCCACTGGGCTGTCTCTTCTGATGTGCAGCAGGGCAGCAGCTTGGCTGTGTGGTGGGAGCTGAGCCTGATGCTCACGTCAGCAGGGCTGTGAGCAGCCTGGAGCAGTGCCAGGGCCCATGTCACATCAGCTTGGATGATTCCACCTCCCTCCTCTGTGGGAACGTGCTCCTGGGCTTGGCAGAGCAGGGACTGTGGCCTCTCAGCAGCGGCTTCTGCCCCTGTGAGGCTTTTGGGGTGAAGCCTATGAGTGCTACCCATCTCAGCTGGTGTGGTTTCTGCCCCGTAAAGCCTGCTGAGTTGTTTTAAGGACAGGCTGAGCTCTCCATCACTTGCAGGCTCAGAGATGCAATCACAGCCAAGCTGTGGGATGGCAGAAGGTCCTTCTAGAGGGAGCCTTTCCTGGTGCTGTTGGCAGAGCTGCCAGGCAGGCTGAAGAGGGGCAGGGCTGGTGCTCTTACTAGGGATAGGTCTCATTTTCTCTGTATCTGCTCTTTCTGCCTCGCTGCTGCCAACACAGCACTGGTTTCAATAGCAGGTTTTGACTTAGCAGGTGACTGGAGTGAGCTGGATGAGAGACCTCTCTCCAGGCAGCTCAGGAGGCAAAGGGAACCTGCTCCTGTCTTCAGGGAGTGTGTCTGCCCCGCACCCCGGAGCTGCTGCTGCACTCCTGCCCTGGCCACTGCTGTTGGGTGAGTCCTTGCCCACCTGAGTGTGAGCTGGGGGTCACGGAGGCTGGCAGAGCCACTCCAGGGTATCAGGGGGTGTGAGTTCATATGGATCGGTTTGTCACCATCATTTTGGGGAGAGAGCAGGGAAGGGCAAAGCACGAGGCCGAAGCCATGCCAGCTGTTGGTTCTGACAGAGGGATGGCCAGTGTCGAGCTGGAGAGGTTGACTTTGACCTCCACCTTGACAGTGTGGAGGCTGCTGTGCTCGTGTGTGTTTAGTCTTCAAGCGCTCGCAGAGTGGCCGAGGGGAAAAGGGACAGGAGAGCTGTGAGGCATGGTGTGAGCTGTGCTGTGCTGCAGTAACAACTCTTCTGCCAACTAAATTACCTGGCTTTAGCCTGGCTTTGATGCAGGGTTTATAGAAGGCAGCCACTAATCCACCGAGTCAAATCGTGTTTCACCGGCGCTTGTTTGTGCCTTCAACAATCGCGAAGGTTCCATTTTGCTCGATTTCATGTCCTGTCTGTCGCTGGACCTTTGGGGCTTTAGGGGATAGAGCACGCTTTGATTTTAATGAAGCCTTTTCTTTTCAGCTGTCCTGGGCTCAGAGGCTCTTTGGCAGTGATGACAGCTCAAGGGTTCTTCTGAATGCAAGAAAATAGCCACAGGCCCTGGGGCACTGAGCTCAAGGGAGGGCTCCTCTGCAGGAGACTGGCCTTTATCCCAGGCAGGTGGGGTCTGGGAGGAGCAGGGCTATGAACCTCCTTTCCCAGCCTGGTGCCTGCTTCTGGTGTGAAGGCTGTAGACTGTTTTAACCTGAATTCATGACTGTTTGGTCCCAAGGTGCTTATGACTGGCAGAAGAGTGAGTGCTGAATTGCTGGTGGAGGATGTGGACAGGGCACAAAGGCTGGGATGAAGCTGGCTTGTCTGCAGGGCAAACAGGGCACAAAGGCTGGGATGAAGCTGGCTCATCTATGCAGGGCAGTCAGTGGGGTGAAGCTGGGCAGTAAAATGTGCTTCCCTGCAAATAGGATTAAAAAAAAAAAATCTACCTGTATCAAGCTGTGCCTGTGGTGGAACAGCCATGTGCAGGTCCCTGGCTTCCCTCTGAGTCTCACCCTTGCGGATGAGGTCAATCTTCAGTCTGAAGAAGAGGAGGGTGAGGGGAGACCTTATCATGCTCTATAACTACTTGAAGGAGGGTGTAGAGAAGCGGGGGTCGGTCTCGTCTCCCAAGTCACAGGAGATAGGACAAGGGGAAATGGCCTCAAGTTGTGCCAGGGGAGGTTTAGATTAGATATTAGGAAAAGTTTCTTCATGGAAAGAGTTATCCAGCATTGGAATAGGCTGCCCAGGGAAGTGGTTGAGGCACCATCCCTGGAGGTGTTCAAAAGACAGGTTGACATGGTCCTCAGGAATATGGTTTAGTGATTTGTTTATTGCTTATTTCATTATTTATTTTTTTTTTTGTCAGTTAGGTTGACGGTTGAACTAAATGATCTTTAAGGTCCCTTCCAACCCGGACGATTCTATAATTCTGTCTTCATTACTTTATGGCTTTCAAACCTCTGCCATGGCAAACGAGGCATGGTTTGTCGAGGCAAACCTTTCTCAGCCACCTTGCTAACAAGGCTGGTGGGGAATTAGCCATGCTGTAGCAGTGGGATCTTGGTGATGCAGGAGAAGCCCTGGGTTTTAGTGCCAGCAACGTGTTCCTGTGGGGTGGAAGTGTCATGGAGCAGTGCAAAGCACTGGTGCTGATGTGTCACTCGTGGCCAATATGCTTCAGAGCATCACTGCCAAGTGGCAAATACAGTAGCTGTGATCAAGTGGTTGCAACAGCTTTTGCTTTGCAGTGTGGGACAAACACCATTGGAGCTTTTTCTGAGTGGCTCTTGCTGCCAAGAC